TGTCTAACTTGAAAGCTAGAACTCCCACAAAGCCAAAAGCCAATCCAAGTTCCATGCTTGGTTTAAAACCTCTCCAGAATTCATCTTCTTCATCTCGATTGTTTTTCATCATCAGAGCATGTTGGTGTTGGAGGATATCCACAACGTGCAGAATTACCAGCAAATGCAGAAGCATTAAAAAGTGTCAATTTGGGTACCGGATGGAATTCTCCCAGAAAAATTGTTACATGGCAGGTCAAAGACACCTGCCATATAACAAATCAAGTGACTGACATTGTCTCAGTTGTCCAATATCTGGTGCAATCCTTCCAGTCAAATGGTTCCTTGATTAATTCAAATGAACCAATTAAAGAGACTCCATATCTGCTGTGGAATTTCCCCTGATAATTTGTTGCTTGATAGATCAATAATCCTCAAAATTGTGATATTATTAAAATCATACTCAAATCCTTTCCACCAGACAAATGCTTTGTTAGCATAGTTATGCACATAAAAAGAAGCAGAAGCATCAAATATAGAAAGATAAAAAGGGAAACGAATTACTTTAAGAGCATTGGTGCCATTACTAACTTGTTCGTCATCATAATTTTCTTCGCCACCGCCATCCATGTGTTTTTCATCTCGCTGACATGTTGGTTTTAGAGGGCACCTACATAAAGCAGAATTGCCATCGAATGTAGAAGCATCAAAGAAACAAAGGGAAATAAATTTACTGTTAAAGAGCATGACCGTATTGTCTTGCCTGCTCTCTATAAATAATAGAAGCTAGTCAGAATTAAATGAATTAAAGTTCTCTTTTTTCATGAATGAGTCACGTTATTAGGTGAAAGAAAACATCAAAATAGTATTAAAAGACAGATGCACCCATTTATGGATGGTTTTTGCAGAAAATGCTCCAAACAAAGACTCAACTTTTGTTATAAGCAGCAACCCCTTACATCAAAAACCTAGCAGAAAAAATATATATGGAATTGCACAATTAAATCAAAACCCATTTTATATTACTGTAACTTCCACTTGTTAATGGCATGACTACGACAACTAGCGCCAAAACTGGTTGCTGTGTGGAAAAGAAATGGAAGAAAAAGGAAAAAAAAAGGATGAAGCTACTAGATTATCCACTTTAGTAATTAGATTCTCTAAAAGATTAAAGGAACAACAAATAATTCATTATTATTTTCTAATTACACAATTTACTTGAAACATAAACCCACAAAAGTGATTTGCTTGCATTGTTGTTTCCATTGAAATATTATTAAACTCACAATAAACAGAACCAGCACATTCCCACTACACCGACAAAACAAGAGGTTACCCTTTTAACTCAAAAACCTGAAGACATGTTGCAAAGCCATGAGTTTATTGAAATTATTCACTGAAAACAAAACCAGCGCAGCCATCTCTACAGTTTTGTGAAGTGCAATTGGAATTTTTGAGATGAAGAAACAAGGGAACTGAGAACCAGAAATTACCTGTATCATTGGCGATAGGATCATAGGAATCTCCGGCCCTCCATGTTCAGCAATTTTGTGAAGAAACATGAAAAGGCTCTTTTGGGCAGAGGAACGGAGGAAGTGGTGGGGCATGGCGATTGCCTGGACGTCTTTAATCCTACCGTTTATCTCCTGACCATTTGATTAATTAAAGATAATATTTTTAAATTAACATAAAAACTATAAATTAGCGTTTATATAACCGCTTTTTCTCTCAAGATCATCTAAATTTTATAACTTTTATAACCTAATCACATTGGGAATTCGATTAAAAATGGAAAATAAAAACATCAAACTTGGTTAAATTACACACTGCAAATCCATATTGCATATCAGTTTCAAGCAAATTATTACAAAATAGATGATAAAAAAAAAAAAAAAAGCACAAATCATTTAACTTAAACAGACCTTGATACAGATAAAATGAAAGATAGGTGAGAAAAATAAAGAAAGCCCCAATTAGCTCTCAATAAATTCCGCTAGAGAAAATACAAGGGAAATCTAGTAGAAATTAAAAGAGAGATTTCTAACATATTCCTCAATATAATAATCTGAAATAAAAAAATTACAGACAGTCTCCCAAAAGGGTTACAGAGAATAGTAGAGGATGAAGAAGATAAACAATTTCTGAACAACTCTAGAATGAAACCGAAAGCTCCTAAATAATCCAACCCTACTAGAAACGACCTTCAACATAACATAAAACGACAATGCTTAATTAATCCTACTGGGCAGCCATATCATCATCTAGTTCCCACATGCCTTATTTACCATAAATCAGACCTTTCACCCAAACACACTGAAAAGTTAAGGAAGAAACAATGCCCTGCTTAGCTTGGACTTATTAACATGGAAAGAGAAGACATCCGTGCAACATGAAACATCTTGAACCTGAAAAACAACAATAAGATGAGGTTATTTGCTTTGGTACGGTTTTTATAATAAAGTAATGAAGATGTTTAACAAGATTAGCAAAAATGTGTACCCACCTTTTCCGGTCCCTAGGAAGAGACTGATGGCTCAAACAACTTCAGCTTTCTTCCCAATCTGATACATGCTCTCTCACCAGCAAACCGACTGCTGCCACAAATAAATAAAGGCGGTCCTTCAACTTGCTGAGTCGGACCCTCACGTTGTTGAACAATAGGAAACAGAGATGTTTCCATGGATGATAAAACTTCATAGCCAGAACTTCCACAAAGCCGATTGCCACTCCAAGTTCCATTCCCAGTTTAAATGATTTCCAGAATTCAGATCTGTCTTCTTGATTGTCTTTGCCACCACTGTCTGTTGATTTGCTCTTTGATTTTTCATCTTCCGGGCAAGTTGGTGTCAGAGGAAGTCCACAGAGTGAAGGATTACCAACAAATGCAGAAGCACTAAAGGACTGCATTTGGGCTGAAATTGGGATTCTCCCTGAAAAGTTGTTGTGTGATAGATTCAAAGTGCTGAGGAAATTTAATTGGGACATGCTCCAAGGAAGATGACCTGAAAGCTGGTTCTGTGACAGATCGAGTGATTCTAACTGTCTCATCTGCCCAATGTTTGAAGGAATCCATCCCGTCAATTGATTTCTTGATAAGTTCAATTGAAGCAGTTCCAAGAGAACAGATATCTGGACTGGAATCTTTCCTGTTAATTTGTTGCTTGAAAGATCAATGATCCTCAGATTCTTGAGATTTCCATTCCCATAATCTCGCTCCATTCCTTTCCACATTACAGATGCTCTGTCAGAATAGCTGCCTTCGCACCGGATGCTAGCATTAATACGTACAAGAAAACTATGATCGTCGGTTGAATTCTTCTTTTGAGCTAATGCAGTCAGATTTTGGATGCACCAGGGTATACTTCCAGATAGATTGTTGTTGGAGAGATCTAGCAGCGCAATATTTGTCAACCAGCATAGCTGCAAGGGGATGTCTCCATTGAAATTATTGGATCCCAGAAGAAGGAAAGTCAGTGAACTTAGCCTTTCTCCAATCCAAGCTGGTATTATTCCAGAGAAGCTATTATAATTCAAGTCCAAAAATTGCAAGGCACTGCAATTTCCTAGAGCCCGAGGTATTTCTCCTGAGAAATTGTTGTTTTGCAAACCTAACGATTCAAGGCGAGACAAATATCCAATAGAGCTTGGAATTTTCCCAAATAAATGATTGTTAGCCAAATTCAGAATCACCAGACTTGTCCATCGCATCAAGCAATCAGGAAGCTTTCCAGTTAGTTGATTGTGCGAAACATCAAGGAACACAAGGTTCCCACTAGTTATAGTACAGAGAGAAGAAATTGACCCAGAAAACGTATTTTCTGATAGGTTTATGTATGTGACATTAATAGGGAATACTGGAAATGGACCCTCCAACTTATTTTTACTCAAATCTATCCCAAGGCTAAAAGAATCAGCAAATTTTGTAGTTGACAAATTTGGCAAAGCTCCATAGAGATGATTGGAAGAAAGATTCACATGAAATGCTCTAGAAGATAGGTTCCAAAACCACTTTGGGATGCCACCTGAAATCCCATTCCCAGAGATATCAAGGTTAGAAAAGTTTCTCTGGGTCTTTAACCATCTTGGAAACTCTGGGCCCAACTTGCACGACGCAAGTTCTATCTCATCCAACTGGAATGGAGGAATCCAGTCACGGCCAAAGTTGAAGCTCAAAGAATTAAAAGACATGTCCAAGCCCCGTAGCTTAGATAGTGTTGAGAAGTGTGATTCAGTGATCATCCCATTCAAGGAATTGGAAGAAATTTCTAACGACTCAAGCTTTGACAGGAGTCCAATACTTTTGGGCACAGTACCATTTAGTTGATTATTGTAAAGAGATAACCATCGCAATGAGGAGAAGTTCTTTATCATATCAGGCAGTGGTCCCTTAATTTTATTTTCATCCAAATATAATCCTTCCAAGGAGAGTCGTTGACATCCAGATAAGTTACCAATAAGTTCTGGAAGCATTTCGTCTAGATTGTTATTAGATAGGTGTAGGGACCTTAATTTGCACAGGTTCCCAAAGGATTTTGGAATCCCTCCTTCAAATTGGTTGTCATTGAGATCTAGGGTTTCCAGAGAAGTCATGTAACTAAGATTTTCTGGAATCAAACCTTGAAAAGAATTATCAGACAATTTGAGACTAACAAGGCTCTTGTTGAATTTGGACAACCATTGGAATGTGGAAGCACTCAGATTATTAGAGCTTAGGTCAAGGACAGCGAGCAAAGTAGATGTATTAATCATGGGGATAGATTGAGGAAGGACATATGGAAGATTACATCCATATAGATATAAGATGTTTAGACGAGGAAGCTTATTAATTACCTCTAGCCAGGAATTGTTGACCTTACTAAGGTCATTTCCACCCAGATCAAGGAATTGCAAGTAAGAAAGAGGAGAAAGCCACTCAAGATTTTTTATGTCGAATTTGTTATACCTAAGATCAAGAGACTGCAAACTTGTGAGGTTTGCAAGCTGACTAGGAAGAGATCCACTTAAATTACAAAAACAAAGAACAAGATGTTGTAATTTGTTGAGGGAACCAATTGACTTTGGAACAGGACTTAAGTTGAAATCATTTCGACTGAGGTTTAAATAAGTTAAATGGTACAACTCAAATAGGGAAGGACTAAGATTACCTCTTAACTGAGAAAGTTCAAGCACAGTGACGTGCCCAGTTGTGTTACTACATTGAACTCCTTCCCATTTGCAACACTCTTTTTTCTCTTCTTCACTGCCCCATGAAGAAAGCCTGCCATATTCATCAACTAGACTTTGCTTAAATGCAAGAAGCGCCTGTCTTTCACTCTCTATGCACCTAATTTCATAATCACCAGTTGTTGAATTGAATCCGATAGAAGTTTGCATATACAGGAAAATCAGGAGTGCATAGACAAGTTGAAGGGACCTTCCACCCAAAATCATCATATTGGAAGTGATGAGAATGAAATCAGAGATGAAGATAGCGTATGTGAAGGAAATATGGTAGATATGTAAGATCTTGGTAATGGTTAGATGAGTTCTCAGAACCATTCTACCTAGCCACTTATATATAACAGCAACCAAGCATATAAAAGGTTGAAAAAAGAGAACATCA